GAGAGAGGAAGCAGTAAGTCAACGCAGGCCGCTTACCTTAGAAGTTACGCAGTTGCTGTTTGCCTTCCAGGCCAGAGGTTTTAATCCTCTTGATAAATTAAACGTATTGTAGTGTTCACAGTTCTCTGTGCTACATACGCTTCCTGTTATTATAAGGCCAATCTTCCACGTGTATTATTCTAAAGTTAAGTTAGAGTTTAGTTTTATTTTTATACTTTTACGTTTAGACCCCGAGTGGGGGTCATTGTATTCCGAAGTACGGAAGTTATTGTATATAGAGAAAAATAAAGGGTTTTGTATACCCTTCGTCTGTATCCTGTCTACTTACCACAATTAGTGAACATAGCTTTAGTAAGCTCTCTGTTCCGAGTCAGGTCCTTGTATGTTCCCGAAGAAGGTTAGAAGGAACATTGAACCTGATACAGTGAGCAGTTATACTCTGTCATACTTAATCTGAGGCCATATTCTAGCAATAAGGTGAAAACTCTTCCAAATCTTCAACATGGTCTTCAGTTATGTAAATTACTAGTATTAATCTTTAACATGCTCTTCAGTTATATTAAATTACCCACTAGTCTTACACATAGTATATTTCACACATATACACTTCTGACCATTAAAATTGCAACACCACGAAGGAAAGCAAATACAAATAGCATGAAGATAAAATTATTAAATTTGTAAGCAGTTTGGGGGTTTACAGGCTGCGGAATTAGTAGAAACAGCTGTCACCCTTGGCATCTAAAACAGCCCTTAGCTGGTTAGACATGGAGTTGAACTGGGCTTGGATAACAGATACGAGAAACTCATTACATGCTGCTTCAAGTCTATGCCACACTTCATCAACCATATTAGCTGGAGAAGGGTGATGGGTCAGTCTCTCAGAAACCCATAATCAGATGTTTTCAGTGGGTGACACATCTGGAGACTGTGCAGGCCAGGGCAGCAATTAAATACCCTGTGTATCAAAGAAGGTGAGAATACAATGTGCAACCTTGCATTATCTTGTTGGAAGATCGCAGTTGGAGGCCACGAAGATGGGGCACAACCACTAGACATAAGATGTCAGAAATGCATCAATCTGCATTCAAATTACCATCAATCTGGATTTTTTATCTGGATTGATGGTAATTTAATTTAGTAATCCAGATTGATGATAATTTTATTCAAATTATCGTCAATCTGGATTACTAAAGATTTCCATGTCATGCACCCAATGGCTGCCCAAACAATTACACCAGGTGCAGGGCCCCTATGCTGATATCGAATGCAAACAGGCAATGTGCGATCTCCTCGAAGCCTCCAGACATGCATACGGCCATCAGAATACTGCACAAATAACCGGGACTCATTTGAAAAGACAATGTTGTGCCACTCCTATATCCAGCTTTGTCAATCGGCACACCAGAGTTGCTGTATTGTCAAGGGAAGCCGAAGTAATGGTTGTCGTGCTGATAGTCCACACGGCTGCAAACGTCGACACACAATACAGACGGATACTAGGCATGCTGCAAACTTGCCTACTTCCTGACTAATGGTCTGTGATATGGTTGTACGGTTTTGCAGAGCTGATGCTGATCATACAATATGTATGTCCTCTTGTCATAGGAGACAATATTTCTGTCATAGGAGGGCATTCAGTATGACCCTCAGCAACCCATTGAATCCATATTCGCATTGCAGTGGTTGGATGTTGACTAGTGCAGTGGCAATATGATGGAACGTTAATCCACACTCTCGACAGGCAACAAACCTGCCTCCATTGCATTCCAACACTTGCCAGTCAGCATTTCTTCTTATTATTTGATGCATAACACGATATTCTGAGCAAACTCCGACCTTATAAAGTGCTTTCTGAATGAGAAATCCACTACATAACTTTTCCTTTATGCAGATCTTCAGATGTCGTTTCTCTCTCCTGCGTTGTCTAAATGGACTGAAACACTATTCATTTGCATATCCTAACCTCTTCTTCTCATGTGATTTTAATGTTTGTCAGATCATTCTTTCCTGGTGTTGCAATTTTAATGGCCAGCAGTGTATTTTATTTATATAAAATCTACCCTATTCAATTTATAGGGCAGTATGCAGCTTGCAAGCAATGCGACAACCACCCCTGCTACATTTAATGTAATGCTACCTATAGAATGTTTACTTTCATTCTGAGAAACCAAAAATCTAATATCATTTACACGTATAATCCTATTTTTTTTTTTTTTTTTTTTTTTTAATAAAAGACTCATTTGGCAGAAAATGTCACTGCACACCAGTATCTAAAAACAGCAATAAAAGAATTTCATTTAAAACATCCAAATTATACAGAGATTTGTTTTTTCAATACTACTGTGTTCATCTTCATTTAAGAGGCCTTTTTATAATCTAGAGTGCTCGACTTCTTTAGCCATAGTCACCTCTTTTTAGTTTAATTAATCTGACCTTATTACCAACATTCTGTTTTATTTCCATATCAGTTATCATTATTTCTTCTATCCTTTCAACTGCCACATTGACTAAAACCACTCAAATTTTCATATCTGAATTTATTACCATTTCAATTTTTCTACTTCCATATTTTACTGCTAACTCAAGCAACTTCTCTAAACTATTTGGATTACATAATTCAACAAAATTATGAAACAATAAATTATCGATTCTACTAATGCCATAATATACATATATACTTGTCCTCATAACACATGACTGCTTTTTGTTGTTCTGAAACTGAATACAGTATGAAGTTTTCAGGACCTGTAATAAATTTAACAAGCAACTTCAATTATCAAAACTGAACATAGTTTCCCGGGCATTCACATGCAATCTATTAATATCTAAATTCAATAAACAGATTTGCTGTCATGGCTCCTAGCTGTTATGTAGCTGAAGTTAATTTGAAAGCAATAGATACATCAGTTCCACTTTGTATACTACTCTTCTATAACTATTTTCCTTAACATTTTACATTGGGCACCACTATAGGTTTGGCTTGGTTTACTGGTTATGGCAAATTACACAACAGCTATCTGCCTAATGCATGGGATGCCTTTGTGAAGAATTTTCTAACAAAAACAGGTTGAAACACCAGTGTCTAGCAACTTTACCATTCAGCTGCTGATGTGCATGGGTACCAGTATAAGGTTGAACCTAATTAATTATTAAATTTCACCTCTTTAACCTTTCTATGATACAGAAAAATTTTCATCTTCACACTTACAAGAAGTCTAAAACAATAAACTATCCAGTGCTTTTTGCAGTCTTAGAAACTGAAATATTTAAATACGTATAAACAGCAGATAACTCAAACAATCTAGCTCCAGTTATTATGGCGGTGGATATCTCAGGGAATTAGCAGTTTTCTGGTGAAATAGCACAGCTCTTCAACCAAAGCATTCTCCCTATTTTAAACTCAAACTACTTTGCATTCTAATGATTGCTAATGGAAGAAATAGGATTTACATGATCAAGTTAATAGAGAAATAACATATTAGCTAAAAAAAAACCTAATAAAATGCAAAGAGTAAAGAGTAAGGATTAGAATTATCAAAGCTAGAAGTAAATTGTGTCTTAAACCTCAGACCCAAATTTGTTAAATTACTTCTTTTCAGAAACAATTTTTTTTAATTCTTCACATTTCACCTTTGTATTGATTAAAAATCACAAATAATATGAAAGCTGTTTATTTAATTTATCAAATGTTTAAATTATCTTTAAAAACAAAGTTATTACATCATAGGAAGATAAAGAAATCAAAATCATGGGCTAGAATTTCAACAACAGCCACACACACAAAAAAAAAAAAAAAAAGCAATACGAAATAACCTTGGAATACAGATATAGCAAAAATAAGAAAAACACAGACCAAAAATGACAAGCTAAATAAAACGAATATATGCAAGCTAAATAAAACGAATGGTAAAATATCATAGCCCATATTCAGACAGAAAGTCTGCTAAATGTTTAAAGTTTCACTTAAAGCCTGCAGTCCTATTTTTAATCAACGTACTATCATGTATCATTCCAGTCACATTTCATTATAGTATAGAACACAGATAATTAACACAGTAATCTAGTAAAAATATAAGAAAAATTATAAATGCTCTATACAATATTTCAGTACTTTCTAGTAATAATAATATTTAACATGATCTTTTGCTATTTAAAAAATTCTCAGAATTTTTTATTGAGGTAACCAAAAAATTATGCATGAAAACACAAAAAAATAAATAAATAAATAAATACAAAGGTGATATAAAGTTTCATAAAAATAGAAATGCCTTAAATTTAAGATGTTACACAAATATATGTATATATTTTCTGCACTCAACAGTTTTAAAATAATTTTCATAACTTTTCATATTTTGAGGCATCTTTTCTAAAAATCACAAAAATTAAAATAAAAACACAGAGCTAGAATACTGAAAAGAAATGTTTATGTTCATGATATAAAATCTGAAATTGTGCAATGAAAAAATACGATCTCTGGAAGTACAAAAATGTTGACAATTTCGTTAAATTCACACATAATATAAAATATTTTTTAAAGAATTTTAATTCAAATTTCAGGCTTTCAGTAGAACATGTTCTAGTGCACGGGCATATGTGTTCAAAATTTGGTGGCTCTCTGTCATCATCTTTCCACTTGGCCCATCAGTGGTCAAGCGGTAAAGTCTCTGAACACTGGTAGTTCAGTCCAAGGTTCGAATCCCGTGAACGGGCTGGCTGCATGGGCATTTTCATGGTTTTCCCCATGTGTAACGTATATATGAGCTAGTTTCCCTTAGAAAGTCCTCCACGAAGGCATCCCTCCCCTTAAGCAGATAGCCCTTGAGGCTTTGCCATAACCACACACACATCTTTCCATTTGTGATAAATTCAAATACTCACTAAAAAATTCTTTTTTCAGTAACAGGAGAGATTTTTAAAAAAATGAGTTAAATTACGATTACTATGTAGAATATAAAATAAACTATTTTTTAAAACTTAGTATATATAAATAAACTAACCTCCAATCATTTCTATAAATTCAGATCCTGCCATTGCTAAAAATGGTACTTTAGCCTCAGTTGCAACTGCTTTTGCAAGCATTGTTTTCCCACAGCCTGGTGGACCTAAGAGTAAAACACCCTTAGGTATTTTTGCACCTAATATCTAGAAATAAGAATGTCAAATACATTAATAACACAAAGAATATAGACTCATAAAGCAACAAAAAGGAAATATTTTTTTAGCTCAAAGAAGAGGGAGGGAAATAACAAAAAGATAGCAATGACAGTGAAAAATGAAAATTCTTCCTTCTAATCATTACAGCAATAAGTACATAACATCATCTTTCTTTTTGATCTTCCAATTTTTCAGTGGTATAATTCAAGGCATTTAAATTTTTGTTTCATTTAAAAATTTAACCACATCACTAATAAAAAAACAACAGGGCTTTAACAATGACATATTAAATATTTTCCTTTATATATTCTTCATTGTTTGCAAGTGCTAACTAATGAAATCAACTGATTTTTGAGATATCATAAAAATTTGGTTCATTATTAGTATGTTCACTGCCAAAGCTGATATGGTGAGTCTGTTCACACATGAAAAGATCTTATCTGCATTTTCATATTTTAAAATTATGATTAATTATTTCATATTTTAAATTTAAAATTATTATTATTATTAATTACATTTTTACTGTTTAAATATAGATATACATAATTTATATACATTATAATATTATTAATATAGATATATAAATAGCGATTACTTTTAGCAGTAAATAAATTCACATGAGCATACTCATATTTGATATCTGAAATATATATTTTTGCTTCCTGTGCCGACTATGAGATAACTTAAAACTACATAAACAATACTCACCCATTCTGCACATTCACTCAAAATTCTTGTATGTGTGATATGTCATTTTCCATTGGTCTTAAAAAAGGCATGAACACGAATTTGAACTGTCGAACATATAATGCTTCCCAAGTGAATAAACTCCCCAAAATGGTTTTACATTCTTAACATTTAGCTATTGTACCTACATTTAGAAAAATAAATGATCCATTTCAGTAGGCCAAGTGTATTATTTAGCACTTTCCTATATGCAAAAACCTAACCATAGCATGCATTTGCTACATCAATATTCATACTCAGTGATTTAGTTGAGGCAGTCAGTAATGACATATTAAATTTGTAGGTGGCATTCATATTTTGTAGCTGGCAAACAAAACTCAATTTGTCAACTACAAGCATTTTCATAGATGGCAGAAAATGTGTAAAGCTAGAGATTCACAAGACATTTTTTTCCCATTAAATGATTAACTTTTATTTATCCAATGGTACAAAGACCAAAATTCTACAATATTAGTTTGATCCATCAAACTCTTTACTCCCAGCATATCATATATCATACTCTAGTTTTCCTCTTTGGGCCCATTATATCAAACGTGATATTGGAGCAAACTTTCACTACTGAGTCATCCATATCACATCTGATATGTTCAAATGGAACACTTTATTTGAATTTTTTTTAAGTGCATAAAAGATGTCAGAATGCAATGAATTGAATGAAATGTCTTGAATTTTAATTTATGCTGCAATTAACTAATTTATTCTATGAACGATGAATATAAAATGCATGATACCTACAGTGGTGTTCAAGACTCAGTGTAAGAGTTATAGTTCATTCAGAACTCATTGTTTTACAGAATGCAAGTGGTTTAAAATTCTGAATATAAGTAAACAATAAGCTACATTTAAGTTCTGACATTTAAGTTAAATGTCAGTGACAATGCACTTCTGCTTCATTATTATACCAGAATAATTTAAATATGTAAATATAATCATTATAAACTAATAGAACACTTCAATTATTTTTTATTTTAACTGTAAAATAATCTTATGCCCAAAGTGATATTCATTACTCATGCTGATGGGCCTACTTAAGAACTTCATTCTCTAGCTGCTAAAAGAGAAAAAGTTAAGCAAGGAATGCAAAAAAAAAAAATTCAATACTAATTTTTTTAATAATATATACTACATTTAAAAACAAGTGCTACACAGATGTGGCCCACCAGCGGCCGAGCGGTAAAGTCGCTGAACACTGGTAGTTCGGTCCGAGGTTCGAATCCCGCGAACGGGCTGGCTGCATGGGTGTTTTCGTGGTTTTCCCCATGTGTAACGTGTATACGAGCCAGTTTCCCTTAGAAAGTCCTCCACGAAGGCATCCCTCCTCTTAGGCAGATAGCCCTCGAGGCTTTGCCATAATCACACACACACACACACACGCTACACAGATGTTACAAAATGCCATAAAAAATATAAAGATGTGTAAAATTTCAAGAAAACTGGCTTTGCAAAAGAAGCTGAAAAATTAATTTAAAGAGATGACCAAAACAGAGCAAGCAAGCTAAACAAAATCATGTAAAAAAATAATTAAATGACAAAGAGCATTTAATTAGGTAAAGCTAATAAAATTATCTTTTTTAAATACTGAAGTTTAAGGATTAAATGCCTTTAATCTTTATAAAATAAATAATCTTTATATATTGTTAGGTGTGCATATGAACAGGCTGTGGAAGAAATCCATTTTAGAGAGAAAACTCTGCATGATATTTAGGCTAATACATTTGAAAAGTGCATTTGCATTTTATAAATAAAAACATCTTAAATGGGATATTTTTAAATGTGTGTGTTTCTAACTGCTTCAAATAAAGAGCAGATATTAACCCTCAGCAACAAAATAATATATGAAATTTTACCTGAAGAACTTACTTTATATTTTTCAGGCCTTTTTGAGGTAATCTACAAATTCCATTATTTCTATCTTTGCTTCTTTTAAACCAGCAACATCTTTGAACTGCACTCCTTTACCAGAACCAGTCAGAGAATCAACAATTGTGAATTTTGCTCTACCAAGCTGAGACTTAAAAAATAATAATAATAATTAATAAATAAAAAAATAAACCATATGTATGCAGATGTGCATACGTATTTTTCATTACAACTATAAACAATTATAAAAAAATAAGAAGCACAATATAAATAAATGAAACAAAAAGAGGTATAAATTACAAGTAATATTTTTAAAAAAGCTAAAACATTAACTGTTAGTTGAAAATTGCAAGAATTTCTCAGAAGCAATACAATATTCTCAAACGAGAAATTCTAATTAAGCACAACAAAGAACTCTAAAGGATGAACAGAGTTTAAATTTGTAATATGACTTACAAAAAAATCCATAGTTTGAGGAGCCTTAATTTGCACATGCTTCAGAAGAAGTGTTAGCATTAATACTACTGCAATCATAGAAAATAACATTAACCATGTGTTTTCTTGACCTCTTTCATAAATTACAGGAACACCTTGACCAACAGGAATGCCAAAACGCTTTTCAGCTTCCCTTAACTTTTCTTCAAACTTTTCAACACCAGCAATTTTCATATGATATGTCTTGTGCTCTGTCTGAAATAAATATATTGTCAAAACATAAAAGTATCAAAAAATATTTTGATAAATTGTAATATTTTGAGAATATTTTTGACAGATGAAAGAATTCTTAGAAATAGTAATTAAAAAAAATTAGGTGAAAATAAGTGCAGTATTTTTAATATGAAGCAGTAAAATATTTATTTATGTTCTCACACTTATAAATAAAGAGAGAAAGCAAGAAAGCAAATTTTCAAGTTGCCGTTTAGTAGAAAACCTCTACAAAACTCCTGCAGACTACTTAAAAACAATTTTAAATTTCTGATCCATTACAAATAAAAATTTTCATGTGGTGTGCCTTAGTTTATAGCAGAACAATACTGGCCTGGTTATTTTTCAGTTTCCAATTGTTAATACTTAATAGACATACACAGACATCATTACTGCTCAACTCACAACGAGAAATGAAATAAACATTAATGATGAACAGAAGGATCTGTTACATATAAACCACAACCATGCACTTCTTAAATTATATTTTTAAGTAAACACATTTCCAAGAGGTTACTAAGTCCAATATATTTGAATTTATTAACAACAATTTTGTTAGATTTATATATAATGAACCTTCTCCAAAATGATCAGCCACAGCTCTTAGAAAATTTTAAATTTCTATGGAAATTGCTGTTTTAGATATGACTACTGGTGATAATGTAAATCAATTTAGATAGTGAATCTCTTTATACAATTACAGAATAAATACGAAGTAGAAAAGGAACATTTTGGATTATTAATACTATTACTTTAATAAAAATAAAAATTAAGTACAAAGATAAATAGAACCAACTAATGGACAAAATAAAGGGGAACTTATGAAAAAAACTGTCTTCCACTTTACCTCCTGAAATACTGTAAGTGTATTATATTTTAAAATATGGAAACAAATTTCACATGCAAACCAAAAATTAATTACAAAAAAAAGTTTTAATACTTTTGAAAACACTAACTGTTTGTTATAAAATTCATCCACCGAAGCAAGCCAAATACTTTGTGACACACCACTAGAAATATAAATATTTTTATTTCAGCATGTAAAATATTTTAGTTTACAGGTTTTAAAAGTCTAATATGCATATCCATTGTTGACACACAAGCAAATTTTTTTCTGAATTTTAAATTTTAAAAGAACCCATGAATTTACATCTTGCCAAAAGTTTTCTGACTACTAACCCTGCCATTATACTACCCTTCTCAACATTGGATCTGCAACAAAAATAGTTCTTTATTCATGATGTACTTAAAAATGAATTACTATAACAGTTTAAATATGAAGCTGAAACTCTACTGGAATGTTTCAACCAGGTAATGAGATACAAAAAAGCTACGGCAAAACACATTCTTTCACAGAAAAAGGTTTTGAAAATTCATATTTTGTTGCCTTCAGAATTCTGATTAAAATTTTGATTAAAAAAATTTACAACCGAAGTTATTTTTTAATTTGCAGGAATTATTATAGAAAAATATATTTATTGGATATTTTACAATTAAAAGTCATATTTCTTATTTAACTTCACTGATTCATCAAAATCATTTCCAAAGATTTTGTTGACAGATATTGCTTCTGCTAATCAGTAAATCTATGACAACTGAACCAGAAACAAACGTTTGACCACCAGAAATTTCTGTCTCCTCCTTTAGCAGCTTCTACTGTGATTTTGCTAATTTTAAAACTCAGTTTACAAATTTGATATTTAATGATGAACTACTAAATGAGTCACAGAAATCACATTAGTTGAAACATTTTTGATATTTTCCATACTTGTTTCTAGTGACGAGTTGAGAAAATAAGGGGAAGATAAACATGTTAAGAAAAAAACTTTTAGTATCAACATTCAAACATTATGTTTTCACTGTCCTTCCAAAAATTCCCCAAAATGTAAGAAATTAATCACAAACTTTCTCTAAAATACATCCCTTATGTGTAAATACAATGAAGATATTTTCATTTTGTCAATTTTTTCTGGAGCCTTCTAGAATCGTAGACCTGTAAATCTTGCCTTCAAATCCTTCTAGACTTTTCAAGTTGCAACATTTAAAATCCTAAAGAAAAATTAGCCCTGCCAATTTTGGAAGAGAAAAAGGGCTAGAAATAGCTAGGGTTTGCAGTGCTCGGGGACAACTGAAGATCTTGTGCCCCTCTAGTCTGAAAGAATGGAAAAATTTCATTCTAAAAATATGTATGATCAGTTCGCCACCCCCCCTGGATGCTGCACTCGGCGACAGTGTTCCCCCTTGCCCCCTCTAGCTACACCCCTGTTTAAAATAAAGCACACTTTTAAACACTTTTGGTTTCATATAGTCCACTTTCTTCATCGTATGAAAGAGGCGTTAAGAACAATAAAAATAGAATTTAACAGCTCTGAGACATTTTTAAGTAAACATGCATTTTTAGATAGAAAAAAAGAGATTAAAAACCACCTCAAAATGTTAAGAAGAGGTAAAAAATGCCAAAAGGTACAATGTTATCAGAAGGTGCTTTTTGCAATTTCTATGGGATATTTCACCGTGGGGGTATATTAAATTTTTAATCATTGCAACAGTACAATTAACAAAAAACTTTGAGAACCACTCCTTTAGTTGATAACAAAGACATGTTGGTGATCACCTTTTACATATTGGATTGTTTTGGTTGAATTAGGGAGTATCTATTTAAGAGCATAACCATTTAAGATCCTCCTGAGCAGTTATATAAGAGGATACGATTACGTATTGTTTGTTTAAGACATTAATGATCAATACCAGGGTTTATTTATTGTTTCCAGAAATACTAATCACTGTCTGACATACTCATCTGTAGAATCAGGTCTCCAGAATATGCTTCACTGTATTTTGATCCATGTGACAGAAAAAAAGCAAATATTTATAATAAGATTTAATTTTATGGATATTTACTTTTCTCCCTTTAATTATGGCATCATCATGAACACAGATTGTAACAAGATCTGTTTCAGGATTGACAACAATTTCTTCCACCTATTAAAAGAAAAATAAATAAAAAAATAAACAGTAACTTCAGGTTTAGATAGAGATGAAATCAATAAATCTGAATGATAAAAACTTCAGATTTACCTCTCCTTTAGAAAGCATATGATAAAAAAATTCATTCCAAGAAACATAACGCACAACTTCAGGCTGTTTACTCCCAGGGAATAAGACGGACATGAGAGTGATAAAAATATATGCTGTTGTCATCCATAGTGCAGATTTTATAATCAATGAAGTTTTAGATTCTTCTAAAATAAAGAAGGAAAAATATAACTACAGTGATAGTCATAGATGCTACTCTTTTAATTATACTGATTCATATTTATAAATTTATACGTAAATCTACAGTAACAGTTCATATTTTTATAAATGCATATTTATGACATTTAGGCTCTGAAGATAGGTATTAAAATCGTTTAATATGAGATGCACAAGACAAATGGAATGCAGATGTAAAAAATTTATCTAAATACACATTGAAATATTAATAAGCAAAATGAAGTCATAATCTTAACGGCATACAGAAAATCATCTCTATTATTAACCCTTTCACCATCCTCTCCTGTCCGCGAAAATTTCTCTCCAGTGGCCCTCTGTTTTTCACGGCATGTAGTGTTGTTTTCTCTGTACAGATATCACTTTCCATCCGTTCGCAGGGGATGAATGCAAATGAATATTAAGTAAAATTATAAGGAAATAAAAAATGATTATTATTTTGAAAAATATATTGAAATGCTACTAACATTTTTTTTTTTTTTTTGAATAGATTACTCCATTTCTTTATAAATTTTTCACAGTATGTTAAACTCTAAAACATGGGGTAATACAGTCCTACATCATATTCTTTACAATAGTATCGCTTTTCTTTGCACACCTTTTTCCCTAACAATGTTTTTCTACAATAAATATAACATCTTCTTGGTTCTTCCTGATTTGCAGTAGGTGAAATGTGGTCTATAAAGTGCCTTTCTGGAAGACGTGATACATCACAGCTGCTCAAACAGCACTCTTTCTGTGCATTTGTTGTTGGCTTGTAATATTCATCAATGATTTTGTTTACAAGATCAAGCCTGAAAGACAAATGATGCCACTACTTATCTTGTACAAAACATATGCATTAAATACGGCCATATCTAATAAATGTTGGGATATTTTGGAATAATAACTCTGCTTTTTTCTCACAGCAGGATAATTTGATAGCATCTGATGCAGGCGGCCCACTCCTCCCATTTTGTTGTAATCTTTTACAATTATTGTTTGTTTTTACAGTTCTTTTCCGCATTTCAATATCAATCATTGAGTTATTATGGACTGTACTCATCAAGCATATACCCTTTTTGTCTTTCCACCTCACAACCTTATTTTTTCTCTTTTCCTGCTGAGTTGAAGACATTGAAGCCATCTTCCACTAGCTTGCATCTTATGCAAAATGGCAGGAATATTCATAAAACCCAAGCAAATTCAATTAAAAATAGAATGCCTGCTTAGTGCTGCCCTCTAAAAATAAAATCCCTCTAAAGTAAAATCTAGATGCTCTACACCTCAATATAGATACTATACTAGTGTACTACATGCGCGAAAGTGTTTTAAGCTTTCTTGTAACTGGAAAGCCTAGCTTAAACACATTCATTCTTTAACGTTCTTTCAAATATTTCATTTAAACAACATTTAAACTTTAAAGCACTTTTACAATCATCACATAAAATTTACTTTCAGCACAAACATTTTTACACATTTAACATATAAAATTTTCAGATTCATTTTACAGTCAAAAGTCTTTAATCCGGACTCATCGGGATTTCGGCGATTCCGGATCATCACTTTAAATCTGGTAAGATGGCATGCAGAAATTATAAAATTAAAAATATGAAACCACAATTTATGAAATAAAGAGGAATTATGATCTAAAGGGTATCAAAATTTTTAAAAAAAAAAGCTTAATATTTATTTGTTTACTTTATTAAACATTTCTTTCAACGCGCGCATGTGTAAAGCGTACATTATGCATAGTCGAAATTAGAAAATTGCAACCAGAAAACTATTTGATGTGTATTCGTGATATTTATAATTAGGAGGAATTTGATTTAAATCAAAGACGGAGTACATCGAGATGAAATACTACATTTAGTAAGGAATTATAAGCCGAATAAAATAAAAACATTTGCCCTGAAGATAAGGATAGTGCTGACAGATCAACTTCCAGTTCATTGTGCTCCGCGTGCTCAACACTGCACAACTACGGGCTTTAAAGAGACATCCACGAACTTGTAGCTCGCCACAACTAGTGTCATAGTTGCGGATCTCTATAAATGACCATAACCAGGAAGACGGAAGGGAAACGGAAAGCCATTAAAGAAATAATTGCTCTTAGCTGGGAAAAAGATGCAACGAAGGCCACTGAAATGAAGATCTTGACAGAAGTAAATGCTATTGAAGTATGTTTTGGTCAGAATTGCTAATATAAGTAAAAAACAACATGCTAAAAAAATATTAAAATTACCTTCATCATCTTTCTTTTTGTTAGGATCTTCAGAAGAATATGTAGCACTTGAAGTTTTAAAATACATAACTGGCACACCTATGATAACACAGAAGGTATATGAAAAATGTGTGAAAAATTTATTTAAGATTATACTTTATAGAACTGAATTATTCATACACAGTACAGTGTTATATCAGTATGTGTCAGTAATTAATTCCACGGCATACACCAAACGAACCTCGGAAAGAAGAAATAAAGGGAAAATAATTAATGTATTGTTATCAAAAATTTTATTGTTATTATTATCACGTTGTTAAATATTAAAATAAAAGGCGAAATATATACTGTACATATAAGATGCACTAAACAAGATACTGTAGATAATCTTTTATTTTTATTTTTTTAAATTTAGATCAAAAGCAATTTTTCACCAATACTCCGACTTCTCGATCTTTGTTTGGTAACTGATTTCCCGTCTTTTGCAAAATTAGCCAATTTAATACCGTCTATTTTTGAAAACTGTACACATGATTAAACTTAACATATGGTATTGTAACAGCAAGTCCCGGATATGCAAGCCTTCTTCGTACTTTTCAACAATCTCTTTTTTCACTTCCATGATGAACCTAACAATTTTCTTCATTGCTTGACTTTTCTCATTAACTTCCCAACAATTCATTGTTAATATTCATTGTTCCTATATTACATTTATATATAGCATTGTTCTAACATAGGTATTTTGACATAAAATCGGACTTTTCTGAAATAAGATTCTAATTTATTTCCTTCTTTCAATTCTACGACTCAAATTATGTCTAGATATTAAATTTTGTAATTTTGGGTGAGAAATTAAAAAATTTATCTTGGCACAATTTTTTTTCAGTTTGTGCCAAGAATAATTCACTTGGTGAACTTCTGAATTTTTAGCAACATTTTTCTGAATTTTTCCCTTTCTTCATTTCATTCCACTAACTTTTTGCATGTATGCTTAGAAATATATCTACTTTAAATGATGGTAAAAATTTTATAGGTTATAATTCAATATTGTTTTTGAAAAATTTACAAAAATTATTTAAAAATACAAATTTTAAAAATAAATGATAAAAAATGGGCAAATTTTATTTGAAATGAACCTAAATTTTGAAATGTGAAAGGAAGAATCAAATAAATATAATAAAAAAGAGATATTAATAAATATATACCAAATTCAATTAACATGAAGGAGCTAAAATTTTGAGAGCCAATTTTTTAAAAATTACTCAACTTTTTACAAAACTTGGCACTTCAGCATAATTTGGGTTGTAGAATCAAAATACGCAAAAGAATTGGTATATTATTTCAGAAAATGCCCGAGTTTGTGTCAAAATATGTATGTTAGAACAATGCTATATATAAATCTTATATATATATATCCTAAATCCTGCTTTTGAGACGTGAAAAATGCAAGATAAATTTTGACAATCGGTACAGTAGAACGGAGATATAGAACTGTCCCACTTTTTTGGTACATGATGTACAAAATACTTACATGTTAAAAACTTTTTATTGTCAATACTTTGAAAATAAGAACACTGTTATATGATCAATGTATTTAATTATAAAGTATGAATAGGGAATGCTAGTATACTGAAGACAAACTATTTGAGAAAGGAAAATTGTACGAAATAAGTTGGTGACTTTTCTGAGGTTTAGTGTAAAAGAGAACTGCTGAGATTTTTCCATACGATTAGCAAATGCCAATATACTGGTAACAAACCTTAATTGAATTAATTCATTAGATACAAAGTAGATAATTAATTCCATTTTTCTTTCCTCTTTTTAAAAAATTTAATCTTCAGATTCTACAAATCATCATAAGCTATTAAGATCTCTCTTTATCACTTGAAGCTTTCAAATTCTAACCTAAGATCTCATGTCTTAATTCAAAATTTCAAAAAGAAAATTTCATTAATGCTCGGTAAAAGTGGTCATTAGAAAACGAATGTGACTGTAGCAATTTCAGTGGTATCTGAATCACCAGTATCATCTGTAAAGAAACTGAATGGTGCCTTATTTCAAGATGGCTAACAATGAAATCTGCTGGAATTTTCAAATAATTGACGCATTGTGATTTCTTAAATCAAAATTACCGAATCATCTGGATATTTCTAGACATAGATAATTTAACCTACTACTTTGTTCATGATCTTTCTAGCAATTATGCCTTGATATATAAATGCTGCATTGCACATATGAATCTTTGTCAGTTGAACTTTTCAGCAACAGCTGATAAATTTAGAATTGCTAATTAAAATTTGAGTTACTGTCAAAATATTTTTAATAAATTACACTGAGAGAATGAGCCTCTAGATTTGAAAGTTTAATCATAAATTTCATTTATTAAATATCTTCAACATCTTTTTTGACATATTTAGGGAAACTTTAAGAACTATTCTTAATTTAATTTTTCCTTTAAAGGTATATTTAAGCTTTATTTTATTTGAAAATATTTGATATTAAGTAAAAGTTTTTCTTTTTTTTCTTCTTTATATTTTTATTTATGAGATTTGAGAATTTTTCAGTATTTGGATTCAAAGAAATTTATAATTTGACTTATCTTTAATTTTTTCCCCCCTCAATGCAAGTTAAAAATATGCATTTGTAGGACCATTCAGTATGATTTTACAGTCGACATCATGCAAATGTATGTCAGTTATTTAAAATTGTAATATGCCAGGTAGCAACAGTGAAAAGTGGGTGATACGTCGGGAATGAAATTTGCCTCTAATATCAGATTCATCTGAAAAGAAAGTATCATGAGCTAAGTGTAATGAAATGGCAGAATAGATCATCCATATAAAGAAATATTCACACCTATTTCTAATCACAATTTTGTACATAAGATATATTTCGGCTAGATATCTGATTCAAGCTTTTGCTAATCAAGGACACTTTACTGAGTATTTATAGAAGATTTAAGATAAACTATAATATATATATATGTATTGTATGCTAGATGCAAAATTAATATTATCATTCTGAAATCTATTTTGTTTCAAAGAATATGGAGAAGCTATCTTCCTGCCCTAATATCAAGTAATGGTCCCAAGAAACTTTCAAGTATGAACTACACACGAAGGATAATTAAAATAATTTAACACCCGGCACTTCACAAGTATTATATATTTGTGTAGGACTAAAGAGTTTCGCTATTAATATATAAAGCATTATAACTTTTCCTGAATTTCCCTTTTTTTCTCTTATGTAATATTTTTAAGCTATCTTTCAGTACTATATGCCTATTTGATATGGATCAGCTAGGCTTCAGATTTGATGGTGTCTCCACAAATCTTCCACTGAATTTTGATAGATGCCTTTCATATTCTCTATAAGAAGGCCTACATTAATTATTAGTAACATTTAATGATGGTACATGCTGTATATGGTTATTTCATTATTTTATTTGCAGCAGAACATATGAGACAAAAATAGGAATCCACATCAGTTCTCTAGAGTAGAGCTTTTTGCTGTGACGACTATTTGAAAACAGTAGTACCAAACTACTTTGCATGGGCAGTGTTTTTTCTCTATGAAAGTGATCTCTTCAATGGTCATCCATTCCATTTGAGAACAGAACGGCAGTGGTATCTTGCATGGAATAAGAGATTTTAAGATACTAGATTACAGTTATTAAGAAACAGGGAGATTACATACTAGAAGTCTGCATTTGCCTTTTGTGCAGTTCTGATGGCCATTACCTGCTTTATAAATGGCCATAATAGTAATTCACACAAAAGGAATTATTTTCCATTTATTATTCTGTCAATCAGCAAACAGCAGAGATAATATAATTTCAAAACACATAATATAATTTAAAAAATTAAATTATTGATTGTTGAAAAATTATGTCATTGAACAATTTCTGTTTGAAAATGTAATTACATATCAAAAACAAAACTACTGGTCATTGAAGGAGAATCTCGAGAGACTGAAAGGCCATATGAAACTCACATGCAGCAGTTAAAAGGCCAGCAAGCCACACTTTGGCTATGTCTATCATATACTGTTGTAAATATTTAGTAGTGATAAAAATTGATCAACTGAAACAAATATAAAGAATTTTTGGTACTTTTTGGTTATTCACACTCTCACTGAAAAGGCATATAAAAGCATGCACCAGGCAAAGCAATGCTGCAAAAATAAGCAATCCACGATGTAAGCAAAAGGTCTTCATGTGGCAACCAGATATACGCATTGCACATCTGTTTGGGCCAATGTGCAGTGTAAAGTTTGTGCAATTCTCTGATATTTTTTAATCAAAAACAGATCACTGTATATACGGGGGAGAACAAAAACACAAAAAAGGATTTTTAAGGCTCCTTAAAAAAGATTATTGTAGGGTTTCTCTTAATTAACTAACCTTTTATTCAATTTTTTTTTTTTTAAATCTTTCCTGAACTCCTCAACTTTCCCTCACATTTCCTTGCCAGGATGCAAATTTAAAGTTAAACGAAGTAAGTAATTAAATGGGTTAAATCCTGGAGTTTATTCATAAGTTTTCGCTTGCCAGCGCAAGTTTTGTTGCTGATCTTGCTGTTACACTAATACGCCCCTTGGCCATTCTGAATAACTGTCAAGCCTGTTAGGTTTCTTTCAATCTAAGTTAGCCATAACTTAACACACTAATCTAGCACTATTCTATTTAGACTTGAATTGATTTATGTTATAACGTTTAAGTTCCATCACAAGTTGTCAGTGTTACTGTAAAGCACGAAGTAGTGCCTTTCTGTTCTTAGTTGGAAATAATAAAAGATTATTTTCACCCTTCTTCTGTAAAGGTATTTACTTCACGCTTGTGCAAGAATTTGCTAGGTTCATTTGTAAGATCTAGATTAGTTTATGTGGCCTAAGAAGGCTACATCTTATACTGTTACTTCTTGCTTTTTAAATTTTACTGTTTGATTGGAATCCTTTGTGCACTACCATTTTGAAAATGAATACAGTCAAAAGTCGTTAATTCGGACACCCAAAATCCGGAATGATCTATAATCCGGACCTCAAAGCTAAAAACTTTCTGTGCATGCGCCGCGTTGGCACATGCGCACAGGCGTTTTACG